ATATATAACATAAGGTAAACAGTATATGGAAGTGGTAGCTCGGAGCTTAATTATGTTGAGATTCAGTGTCATATTCAACTCCAGCCTTCCAATCACTAGGGATGGCAAAGGTTAACTGTGATGTCTTGACTTGATTCTGGTTGGCATAGTGAACTCTAGCGCGAAGAGATCCCATGGGTGGATTTACAATGTCGAATACAGTTCCAAACGCCCGGCGCATTGGCCTCCATTCCCCGCTATTCACCTTTGTTCATTAGTGGAAACGGGGTACAACATCAATGACCATTGAAAAGAATATTTAGTTGTGTTTAAAAAGTTACTTTTTAAGAAATTATGCCTTTTGCTAGTAAAACAAGTAATTTTGGAAATTAGTTTTGACAAAATAAGTAACTTAACGGTAAGTCCCTTCTTTTGCATTAGATACTAATAAGAATTTTAGTAGATTTTGATATAAAGTTGATGCAATGTGTCGTTGAAAAGTTATAGGTTCCATAAAATGCGTGATTAAAATTAATTGTTTGCTTTTATTTATATTTTAATCTAACTTTTTTTAACTTGAATCAAATAGGGGCTAAGTTTGACTTACATTTTAATCTTTACATAACTTATGTACTTAAGTACTAATGAAATTCCCAATACTTACTTTTTAGCTTGTAATATTTGAGAAAAAGTAAGTTGATTTGGTTGAATGAAAAATGTAACCTAGTAGTGACCAACTTCAAATTGAACCTGAAGAGAATAATTCGTCTAAAAAGGTAAGCTTCTGAACAAAAATTTTCAAAAGAAAAGTAATTTCTAACAAGTTCAAAACTTCAACCAGCTTTTAAACATACGAAAACATGATGGCATAAAAACATGGTGCTCGTGACATAGAAAAAGGAAAGGTTCTGTTAGAGGAGATACCAGCCCGATGTCTATACCAGTGATATCAGAAATTCCCTCACTGAATAAAGGAACCATGGCCAAGTAGGAAGGGTAATTGCTACTCTCATGGATACTTAGCTCAAGGTCACGACCATAATCACAATGAACTCTTCTGTATTCAACGTCAACTACACCATATGCAAATAGTTCTGCACCCATGTCCGGATGAGCCAATTTTTCAAAGCCACGTTTGCTCATTATGAAGTCTGTTCTGCCTCCCGCGCGATAATTCGTTACCACGACCTTCACTCCCTCCTCACTGCAATGTGCTGGGATTTTGCACTTCACCTAATTGAGTCATTGATTGTTAGGCATCAGCTTATGCATGGGTGGTTTTACAATGGGGGCATTGGGGTCAGCTGCCCCCACACTATTGAGTTTTTTCTATTGGATTCCCAAGATTTTGCACAATTTTTTTAAAAAAAATGCTTATAATTTTCAATTTTGCTCCCACAATTAAATTTTTTTGAAATTTAACCCCACGACTTTAAAGTCCTAGCTCAGGGAGAAAATTGTAACACTAATAGCTCAAATGTAGCCTCCAAGAGATATTATAAAGCATGGACTTATTTTTCATTTTTTTTCCGAATAAATTGCCTTACCTGATAGCAAGCTCCACAACCACTTCCATTTTGGTAAAGCTTAGAGACAGAAGTGACTTCACCATTGTTGACGGTCTTTCCATACGCACCAAACCCACAAGATCCATCTAGTAAAATTATGAGAAACCCATTTTAATGTAGTCAAAAAGCGTGAGAAATAAGAAATATATAAATTCAATTTGTTGGTTCATGCAAAACATCGAGATATAAAAAGGTTATATTATTAATATTTTGATTGCGGTTGACCAAGTCAAAATATTCAATTACAAGTAGAATATTTGGCAAAGACAATTGAAAAGCACTTTACATAATTTAATAAATGAAATAAATAAAATCTTGCTAATAATAATGTAGGTCTTGTTCAC